AAAAGAAGGCAAATTAGTGGAAATTTACAGACACAACCTACTGTAAATTTCCACTAATTTGCCTTCTTTTGTTCGATACGAACCTTAACAACGTCGATCCAAGGCCTGTAAAGAACATCCGCATGCCACCTTCCCTGTAGGTACTTCGTATGCAGTGCAAGTAACTTCTGTAGCTATCATTAGCTTGAAATCGTGTTTTGATGACATCCGTAGGATAGTTAAACAACCAGGAAAGCATGCCAGCAGCACCTGTTAAATCAACATTTTTGTTGAAATTTTGCTGATGGGAAGAAGGGGTTAAACTGACTAACCACCAGCAAAAAGTAGTTGAGGTCCGGTTAGCGACTCCATCTTGCCATCTTTGCTCATCCCTCGTGACATCCATTCGTACGAAGCAAAATATATGCCAAAGGCAGGACAGTCGCGCACCAATGTGGCCCAGAAACCTCTAAAATACGTTAAATCATTTCTTTAATTACCATACTTTTTGAAAGAGGAAAAATTTAACGATAGATCATTTGCCTCAAATTGCCACTATTATCTCAAATACAAGATTCTTCTGTTTATTCGAATGTGTAGTTCGAGCACAAAGGTCGCTGAACGGGAATAGGTTTCTGCGTCATTCTGCAGATTTCTTTGTTATCGTATTGATATCATTGAAATTGTTGCGGTGTCTGCACTCTAAGAGATCACTTTCACTATCAATCATCATTTGCCGTCCTATTGCGCAGACATAACAACTTGTCAATATAAACATGCTAAATATGGATAGAAAGCTATTTAGTCCAAGGAACCTTGCGCAATATATTCTTGCAAAACAAATCAAGTGGATTCTCTCTTTTTGTAATAATTTAATGATTACGAAATTGATGTTTTGCAAAGTCTGAGGCAACCTTGACTTAGAGTTCTCCACATTCAAAGATTGCAATAATAAATGACAATAGAATGAAACAAACCTCGTCAAGGTGCCGAGCCCTTGTCGGGCTATGAGCGACCGAGCTGCATGCAGAGGGGATTGAAATCTTGACCGACTGCTGTCGGTCTGTATTTGGATGAGTAGTTTTAACCTTTCCGAAGGAGTGGCTGGAATAGGAAAAATCAAAGAAATCTTCTTTCTTCGAACTCGGTTTTCATACTTTAAACCTCAAATTATCACTGACATACCTATCACACTCTGCATCATGCCTGCTGCACAGCCTGCGAAGAAATGTGCCCTCAATGATTCAGGCTGTGTGAACTCCCGGCAAACAAATCCATGTACGCCAAATACAACGGCATTGATAGCCGTTAGAGAAGCAAGCGGTGATGAGAGACCTGTAGGGTAAAGTGGTTCAAATTAGTTGAAACTCAGCCATATATTGCAAATATTCTGAGAAAACCGCTTGGAGCAGTACCAATCATATTGCGTTAATCATTTGATGACTAGTCTTTTGTTTTTGTTTCAAAACATTGCTCATCACTTCATAGTCTTCGATGGACTTAAGGATATTAAGCCGAA